CTCAGGAGCTGGAAGAGGCCAACAACATTTTCCAGGTAGCCAGCTGCCAGCCACCAGGCTGCCTGTAGGGCCCCCAGTCGGTGCAGTGGTGACTGCAGCTCCTCCATGGTTACCTCCCGCAGCACCTTCTGCCACAACTCCTCCATGCTAAGGCCCTGTCCACAGGCCCCACAAGCCTCCAGAACTGGGAAAAACAGTCACAAAGACAGCCATGAGAGAAGGGGTTGGTGCTCTGTAACAGACCCCCTCCCAAAAGGGAGAGAAAGCCTCAAGCAAGCACAGGCTTCTCCCAGCAAGGGAAGGAATGGGGTTGCAGGGCTGTCCCAGCCCCAGCAACATGGACATCAGGCTCTCAGTGGAGTTAACAGCAGCACACTCAGGAGACAACACACGGTTCAGACCTATGACTCCAGCTCTGCTGAGTGCTCCTGAGGTCACTTGCCCTCAGGTAAGCGTGTGCCAACACTGCAGATCCACCTCTGATCTGCAACCTATTTCGGCAAGTTTTCTTTTAAGCCAGCGCACCGTAATTTAAAACTCTAATTTTTTACTGTAGCTTAAACTTTGCTAGAGACTTGGTACCTTATGCCTTGAAAACTCGTTTCCCTTAAAACCTCTGGCCCATCTCGGCAAGCACCTGCACGTCGTTCCGGGCCACAAGCCACACCACCTCCGGCCCTTCCAGGCGGAGCCAGACGTGCCTGCTCACAGTTCCTCCCACCTCCAGCCCTTCCAGGCGGAGCCACGCGTGCCTGCTCGCAGTCCCCCCTAGCTCCAGCCGGTCCTCGCACACCTCCAAAGCACAGAGAATGCTCCACTCGCTCCAAGAAGTCCCCGTACAGACAACCATCTCCTTACCCCTGAGGAGCCCCTGGCGTATTCCATCAGCTTCTCCTTGTATGGCAGAGTCGGACGCTCCGGCAGTGAAGAGCAGGGAGTTGTAGAGGACAGTGAGCTCCAGAGGCAGGGTGGGGAGGGCAGCCGGCAGACCTGTGAGCACAGCCAACCCAACGAGGAATTTAACTAGCTAGGAAAAAACAACCATCCATGCCAGGGTGGCTTGGTGACAACACGAGTGGCCTGGCAACTATTTTGTTGATAAGATGGTACGATTTAGCTGCCTGGGAACTGCATTGCCCAGAGAGACAGCATATGTCACCTCTCCAGGTGCTAACACCCATTCATTCCCCACCTTTCCAGGTGCTGCAGTCCTTCAGATCTGAGACCTTTCAGCCCTTCCAAAAGAGCATCCTTAGCATACTCTCTTTCAACATACGTCCACCCTTCTACACAGGTTTCCTATGCTGCGTCTCTCCTCTCTTGCATCAGACTTCCTCTGCACCACTGTTTTATGGCAAACAGGGTATGTATGTCAGCTCTGCCCTTACTTCAGCACTGCTCAGGAGCTGGAAGAGGCCAACAACACTTCCTCTACACCACAGCTGTGGCACGGAGCCCCTTCCCTTACTTCCCAAGGCAAAGTTACCTCCCCTTTTTTCCCATAAACCCCAAAGCTCTGCCCAGCAAGGCAGAGGTGGGAGTGGGGGCTGGGTCTTAACCCCTTTGCAGGTCCAGTTCAGCAAAGGGTAGTGGGGACCGTTTTGGGAGATTTGTTTTGTTTACAGGTTGTTTCCTACACTGGGATACTGGAGCTGCAGCACGGTAAACACCGGATTCCTGGAACCTGTGCTTTCCCACCACAAAGTTAGGCCAGGGACAGCAGCGGGAGTGTGGAAGGCAGGG